TTGGAAACCACATCCATACCACCCCTACCAACACACCCCAGCATTAGCAAGACAAGCTACTGCATATAAACAGGGAACAAGCCCCACACTCCCTTGCACTGATGATGTAATCTAGTTGGGTAATGAAACATTTGCATGCACACAGCCAAGCTTAGGAAGCACCCAGAACTTCACACTTCAGCCCTGAGCTGCAGATAGTCTTTTCTACTTTTCCTTATTTTTAAAGTATGGCAAAATAAGACTAGGAATATCTAGTATAAATTTAACAGAGTGGTTCCTTTACACGTGGAATATTTTACATCAAAAAAATGTAACAATGTGTTTTAATGCCTCATTGAAACGATATAGTTCCATGAAATGGATAGATTACTCTCACTTTTATGCTTATAGTTCTCCCTTTTTTCCTCTTTTTCTTTCTTTCTTTCTTTCTCTTTCCCTTCCCTTTCTTTTCTCTTCTCTGGTCCTCTTCTGCAGATCCCGATTTCCCATCATGACTGTCTCCAGGCTGCTCCTGCAGCTGCTTGTTCTTCTTGGGGTTTTGCTGGTGCACTACGGAGAAGCTGCAACTTACCAAAGTTTTGCAAACAGCCACATTGATCATCCCAAAACTGGAGCCAATAATCCAAACGCCTACTGTAACCTGATGATGCAGCGAAGGAGGCTGAATCGAGGGAGGTGCAAACCCAGCAACACCTTTATCAATGCCCCTCCCAACAGTATCATAGCAGTTTGCCGAGGCGCCGGAAGACGCTATCGAAGGAATTTGTATGATAGCAGGGCAAGTTTCCAAGTGACCCATTGTAGAAGCACTGGAAGATTCCCAAACTGCAATTACAGGGGGCAGACTATGAACAAGAGGGTCCGCCTGGCCTGTGTCCGCAGGAAGCCTGTTCACTTTGAGAGACTTTTGTAACAGGTGGTGTATAACAACACACCTGCAGAAGTCCAAGGATGCGCTGGTCACAGCATGCGAATGCTCCCTTGCTACTGCTCTTTCTGCCATGAACCTCTTAGTGCATCTCCATCAGCTTAGCAATACTTCCTCCCCTCCCCCCCCCTAGCAAAGTTAACAGATCACAGGACCAAGTTGAGGAACTACAGATCCCCATCTCAACTACTTCTTTACTCTTTCCCTGCTCTTCTCCCGGGTTTTTAGATGAATTTATTCACATCCTAGATTAAAGATCTACTTCATTAGGATATGAGCTAGAGATTGTTGCCTGGGCAGGTCATTTCAGTCTACTTTTAGTATTTCCCTTGCAAATTCATGTTCTGGGGTTGGCTTGGAGATCTATCAATAGTGAAGAGACAGCCATCATATCAGGAACATGAACTTGTGAGTCAGCCCCACTTGCCTGTAAATCAATATGGGAAAGTATTGAACAATCAGACATATACACTGCATTAGAGATGTGTGGTTCCTTGGGTTTGGAGGGGAGCATGGGTTTCAGAATGAGGTGGGGAGAAGCATGTGTAGTACCTATCTACAAGCTTTTCAACCAAAGGCATGTTTTCCCAGGATGGCTCTAGATGCTTTAATGTAATGTCTTCGTACAATAATTTTTGTGTCCCATCCAATTAACCAAAGATTGCTGTGGTGTACAATGCCAACACAGAGGTTGTTATTTTTTACATGTCATTTGTTCCAACCCTAAGTAAGCTGCTGCAGCTTAAACTGTGCCTGCTGATTTCTCTGAATAAACTAGATGACTGCAAATTGCAAATAACGAGAGTATTTGATTCTAAAATTTGTACTTTCTAACGCAACTGGTTCTGAACCAAGTAATTATTTTTCTGTTACACCCTTTGAGAAAAATGCTGCTTTGCTTCACAGACAATACCACCCCCATTCAGGGGATCTACAGCTTCAGGGGCTCTATAGCTGTAGGAAACCTTGGGTATAATTCCTAGGGACCTTCAAAATTACCAGTTGGTCAACTTCTATGGCAGAGGGAGAAAATCATTAAATTCACTGCTGAAGAAGAATCGCCATAATTTATTATTTTAATTTAAAATGGTAAGGAAATTAAATTTCATATCTCCTTTATCTCCACCCAATGGTCTTTGGGGCACAGTGTCCAGCAGGCCACCAAAAGGCCAAAATGCTTGGAAAAAACCAGTGTATGTCATGCCATCCTAACTTAAGAGGATCTATTGCATAAATTCAGTTGCATTGCTAATACATTCTGTACATGCTTTCTCCGTTCCATAATATTTATGGAAAGTAATTCAGTAAACGCCATGAGTTTTTCTGGGCATCCGCAGAAGAATCCAGCCCTATCACTCACTTTGTTACTGTCTAAGTACCTTTTTATGCAGCAATACTAACTCTGGATTACATTGTAGGATTCTAATAAATTGCCACATTCACTTCAGCTTCTTCTACATTCCCAAGCTGCACATTTTTCAGTGAAACACACAAGGTTTTGATGGAAGGGTTGATTCATTGCATTTGTTTTATTTTGGCATGTTATTCCACTTGCCTGTCAAGAGATCATGCCCAAGGACATATAAAAAAAAGCTGAAGTGATTAAAACCCAGCTAAAAAAATCATAATGCAATGCACTAAAATGTCTTTACCTAACCCAGTGGTTCTCAACCTTTTTAATGCCGCGACCCCAACCGGTCGTAAGTCGAGGATTACTCAACCAGTCGTAAGTCGAGGACTACTCAACTGGTGCAGCACCGTTTGCAGAATGGGACTTTTGGCGGGCTCAGCAGGGCAGAGACAGCCTGGACAATTCCTATTGGCTTTTGAAAGCCATTAGAATTAGACTCTATTCAAGAGAGTCTATTCTATTGGCTTTCAAAAGCCAATAGAATAAAAGGGAATAGCACAGCTAAGGAAAAGGGGAAAAAAATGGCGGACTGCATTGTTTGGCGACCCCCCGTGAAATGGTCGTTATGGGGTCCTGACCCACAGGTTGAGAATCACTGGTTTAAGCCCTGTCACCCCATTTTTGCAACTCCAAGTGATCGCAAAGGACAACCTCTGATGCAGATAACAATCTTCTCAAATCCCTGGTGGATAATTTTGCTGAAAAATAATGACAAGAGAAGCAATAAAGATCCTCACCCTCACATCCATTACAAACTAGGCCATAATTAAGGCCATTCTCTATAAATTGTATGATGGCCTATACAGGTTGAAGATTAGAGGATTAGCTGTCCCACAGGTTGAGAACCACTGACCTAACCTAACTGCATATCGATAAAATGCATACTGATTGGTCAGAAACTGCCCCCTCAATTCTGAAGTGTGAAAATAGTAATGAAATGCTTGAATGACTTTGAACATTATTACCAACCATACCTTTCAACCTGTTTCTCAACAGACTTGCACCCATAGATTATGGAGAAACTGGTTCATTTGCAAGCTGAGGTCATAGTTGCTCCTCTATAGTTGTTCATTTATAAGAAAAGGTGATGACAAGGAATCAAAAAATCAACATGTTAAATCTAAACCTTAGTCAGATGCTATATTTTTTCTATCCTGCTCTATGGAGTAGAGAGTTGGTCTCTGACAGAAGGCCACCTGAAGAGACTAGAAGCGGATTTACAGGCGGCTGTTACGTATAAACTGGCTTGACAAGATCAGAAATGAGGAGGTGATAAGCTGCCTGGGAAAGCCAAGAGAAATCATCAAAACAATTAAAAAATGAAAATTAGAATATTTCGGACATGTGATGCAACACCCAGAAAAATATGGCATACTCCATTTAATCCTCCAGGGAAAGATAGAAGGCAAACAAGGTCCAGGCAGAAGAAGAACATCGTGGCTTCAAAATCTAAGGGACTAGTTTAGACAAAACTCAGCAGCACTTTTTCGTGCGGCTGTTAATAAAAACAGGATTGCCAACAGGATCGCCAATGTCCAATAACGGATATGGCACAACAAGAAGAAAAAAAATCTAAACCTTATTGGCTTATTCTCCAAAGCACCTGTGAAAACACATAATCAATGAAACATTTTGCTGCCCAGAGTTGTGGGCACTCCATTGCTGGATGTTTTCAAATTGGACAACTATTTGTTTGAGATGGTATAAGGTCTCTTGTCTTGGGTAGGGGGTTGGACTAGAAGACTTCCAAAATTGCTTTCAGCCCTATGATGTTATGTTTATGTCTAACGTTTTTCATACTTTCCCTAAAATCAATTGTTAGCATTTGAATATCTTAATTCAGTAACAATCTAAAGTGTCTTGTAGATGCAGGAATGGTCCAAAGAACCACACTGCACTGACTGAGAAGGACCAGGGAAGACTGATTAAGCAATTTTAAGGTGTTTTTCTCAATCTGATTCTATTTTTCAGATGTTAAAGAACATTGTCCATGGTCCTCAATCTTGAATGTTAAGAATTGAATTCCAACTCATAGGAAAAAAAGTAGGATGAGGAACACTAGAATTAGCTTCTTACAAAGCTTCTCTTGTGGGAGAGGTTGGGTTGTTAGCCGTGGTGGCACAGTGGTTAGATGCAGTACTGCAAGCTAATTCTGCTGACTGCCAGCTGCCAGCAGTTTGGCAGTTCGATCCTGATTGGCTCAAGGTTGACTCAGCCTTCCATCCTTCCAAGGACAGTAAAATGAGGACCCAGATTGTTGGGGGCAATGTGCTGATTCTGTAAACTGCTTAGAGAGGGCTGCATATGAGTCTCAGTGCTATTCTTATTGCTACTGCTGTTACTCACTTAGTGGAGGACTTGATTGGTGTAAATGGTTTTTCAGTAGATTTGTCTTTCTACTCTTCCATCATAGCCTCTGCTAATGAGGAAATCTAGGAAGAGTACTGTATTGTTTTTTTTCTTCCCTTGTGAATTTGATTCCTTTGGAGATGTTAATGTTTTAGTGTGTGATTTCTAATATGGATCCGGTATGGCATCATCTGCATACCGGATCCATATTTTGGATTCAATGTGTGGGACTGCTATTGATTCCATTATGACCTCTGCTATGAGTTCTGAAAATTGGGATCCCATAGGTATTCCTTTGATTTGTTGCTATGTTTTCCCATCAAATTGAAAGTATGTGGTTAGGCAAAGGTTGATAAGAGGCTGCAACTGGCATTCCAGGTGTGGGTATGCTTTCTATAGGTCCATTAGTAACAAATGTACATAACTATTTGTTACCAAGGGACATAAATAACTTTCATAACCAACCTGAGTTGAACCTTCCATTCAAATCTTGGCAAGCCCTAAAAGATCAGTTAGAAATAATAGCAACAATATTCAGCAAAAAGGCCATTATACAGTATGATTGTGAATAATTAGAAAAATGACTATCTCTAGTTTCTTTTTATTAAAAGGAAATATTCCCAATACTGTAGAGTGGGGAGAGATGGACCCTGTTAACTCTTCAACAGATACTTTACCATTAAAAAAGAAATCTATTACTTTAGTTTTCAGAAAGATTGCTCAGAAATGAAATTCTTCCCTAGGATATTATACATGAATGTCCACTTTCAGCCATGCATCATTAATATCTTATAGTGTTGTTACCAAAAACAAAAAGTGATACAACTTGATGAAGAGAAATCTCTCTTCTCAAGCCCCTTTATTGTTTTTCCATCTTATCATCATCATGCTTTTGCCTGGTTTCCCCACTTAGTGTGTCCATTCGTTCCCAACACACCACAAACTTTATGAGCAATCCGCTCTGTAACATGCTTCATCATGTTTCTTAGTACCAGTTTCACCGTACCATTTTGCAGGGTGAAGAAGAAAGGGTTCAGGAAAGGACAGACAATTGTGGTGAGTAGAGCAGGGACCTTATGGACTTCAAGAGTCTCCTTTTGGGATGGTGTGACGTAGATGAAGATGCTGATGCCACAGGAGATGGAGATGATGGTCAGATGTGAAGCACAAGTATTGAAGGCTTTTGCCTGACCTGAAGGGGTAGAGATGTGGACTATTGCTGAGATGATACACACATAAGAGACTAAGGTTAAGATCAAAGAGCAGAGGATAACAACAGAAGACAGCACAAAGTCCATCAACTCTATCACTTGGGTGTCACTGCAGGACAGATTCAGCAGAGGGCCACTGTCACAAAAGAAATGGTTGATGACATTAGACTTGCAGTAGGACAGCCTGGAGATCATAATGGTGGGAATAAGAACTGAGAGGAACCCACCCAGCCAGCAAGCCAAAACCATCTGGATGCAGACCTGGCTATTCATGATCGCATGATATTGCAATGGCCTGCATATGGCAGCATAGCGGTCATAGGACATGGAGGTAAACAAAAGAAACTGTACTGTCCCTAAGAAGAAATAAAAATAAGACTGTGTCATGCAGCCAGCAAAAGAAATAGACTTGTCCCCAGAGAGGAGGTTCCAGAGCAATTGGGGGCTGGTGACAGTGGTGAAGAAGATGTCCAGTATGGAGACATTGCCAAGAAAGAAGTACATCGGGTTATGGAGGCGGTTATCTACCAATACAATGCAGAGGATGACCATATTGGCCCCCAGGCTTGTAATGTAAATGGTTAAAAAAAGGAAGGCTAGCAGGAGCTCAATTTGACGGCCAATGGAAAAACCCATGAGGATGAATTCAGAAATGCTTTGGTTCTCTGACTTTTTCTGATGGTCCTCCAGAACAGCACCTGAAAGGACAAAGGTTATAATTGAGAAACACCAATGCACCAAATCCTGCTTGTATATTAAAATATGTTGTCAAAAAATGTAATTGAATTCTTTGGGATTATCTCAACAAACATACCTTACTTACCAGTCATTTCTTCCTGTATCCCTTGGTAGAATTTGTTGTGCTGTTTTATTCAGTGAATGAAACACATACTGAGTTGCTCCTTTTGTTGCACCAGCTCAGATCCCAGATGGGAAGAGTACTTCCACACCAGGAGAGAAGATCAGGAGAACTCCTAGTTGTTGAGCTGCATTGTTTGGCATCAATATTCGGCCTTAGATACTGGAGGGATTTTTCCTAGGTTGAGATTCCTCATTCTGACATTCATGAAGAAATAAGCCATGCTGTGACTTAATTGAAGGCCTGGTCCACACAAACATGAGGACAAGGGCTGCACATCTGGAACATGTTGAGCAACAAATGGCCCTACTCCGTGTTCTATGTTTCCAGCAATGGGTTTGATTTGGCGAACTCAGATTTATAGTCTTACTTTTATAGGTCAATCCTCTGTTGAGATTGTCAGAGTTAGATTACCAGCTCTGACGATGTCAACAGAGGATTGACGAAAGCTAACTTGTATTTATTAAAAAGTTTTTTCTATTCCGGAGTTCAGTGGCTCTATTGCATTTTAATATATATATATATATATATATTGGAAGGGATCTTAGAACTCTTCTAGTCTGACCCTCTGCTCAGGCAGGAAACTCTATACAATTTGAGACAAATGGCTGTCCAGTCTCTTCTTAAGAAACTTCCAGTGTTGAAGCATTCACAACTTCTGGAGGCAGGTTGTTCCACTGATTAATTGTTCTAACTGTCAGGAAATTTTTTCTTAGTTCTAGGTAGTTCTATGTATTTAAGGGAGAGCTGGTTTGGTACAGTAATGAAGGCATCTAGCTGGGAAGCCACCAATTGTGAATTCTAGCCCTGCTTTAGACACAAAATTAGCTGGGTGATTTTTAGCCAGACCATTCCTCTCTACCCTAGGAAAAAAGCAATGGTAAACCACTTCTGAAATCTTGCCAAGAAAATTAAAGGGGCTTATTTAGGCAGTTGTCAGGAGTCAAAAATCTGACTCCAAGGAACCCTCTCCTTCCAAAAAGAGGAGCTGAATAGTCTTCCTACCACTAATCAATGTTTGTCTGAAACAATAAGCTTAGCTGCTATTTACTGTCTTGCTTCCATCTTCTTTTTTCTTGTGGCAATGCATCTCCAAAAAGCGATAAGTCCTTATTGTTTTCACAATTTCTCTCACCCTTTCCAGCCATTAGGCAGATGGGAGAAATTTGCCTATGATTCATCTGAATGCAAATTTAATTTTGCCCTTTTTGAGCCAAAATGTGCACATGGATTGATTAAAATTATGCATGGAGATGGTTTATGTGGGAGAAAATTGCTTGTCATACTGTTATTCAGGAGGGAAAATAACGTAAGCAGAAATGTGTTAAGTTTGGATAGATTTGCATAAAACAGTTATACAGTACATGTAAATTCAACCCTTAATAAAAAATTCCTGCTAAAATCATAGTTTAATGATATGTTAAAATTGTTACAACAGAATAAAACAAGTGGAAAGGAAAATAAACGAGAAGAAACTGATAAAGTAAACAATGTCTTTCAATCTTCTCTTTCCAATGATTGTGTCCTATGAAATAATTTGACATACTTGCCTGGTGTAGCCTTCAAAATCAGATTTCCATCTCTCTTCATTTTCTCTATTGTTTGCTAATCTGCAGAGCTCAGGCATTGGAAGACTGTGTTTGCTGCAAACATCCAACAGATTTTGAAACATGGCAAAGCCATATAAACACACATTCAATGTTTTCAGTGTCACTTGATGCAATGAAATCGCTGATGGACTTGGAACAATGCTGGAATGAAGAAAAACTCTGTTATGTCCACCTGGAATAAACTTCTGAGAATGAGTTTAAAACACACACACACACAAACAAACAAACCTCAAAGGATTCAGGAACCAATTGCTAATTCCAATTATACTTTATAGGAACAGGCTTTCAGGAAAGAGTGTGGGAGGGAGGTTAAAAAAGTCAAGATGGCAACCATGTCTACACAACTGAGGTCTTGCTCCCATTTTATTGCATAATAATGCATATAAAAAGGGCGGGGCTTTGATACGTCAGCCTCTCCTGGCGATATTAAAGCATTTGGGAATAAAGAAGGGCACACATTATTTTCTTAAATCTGTTCATATTTTGCACAGGAAATTATGCTTTAGTCCCCATTCTGATGCTAATGTGGTGTAGTGGTGAGGGAGTGGGGAGTCTGAGGTTCAAATTCACCCCACCCTAGATATCTTTGGGCCAGTTCCTCTCTCCCACCTCTGCCACCTCAGAGGGATGTTCTGGAGAAAGAGAAGAAGAACCTATGTCCATGCATGCCACCTTGATCTCCTGAATGAAAGTCAGGCTGTCAATCAAATACATAAAATATACTTTTGCATAAAAATAGGTTTTTAAAAATTCTTTGGGCATATCCCTTTCAGCCTTTCGGAACCCATGAACTGCCAAAATAAAGAGACTTGGATTAAAACAAATAAAAGCCACCAAGATCTGTTAATTGTTTCCTAATCTCTTTCTTTTTCTCTGTCTGTGTCCAGTGAAGCTTATGTGAATTCAGGAAGGAAGGAAGGAAGGAAGGAAGGAAGGAAGGAAGGAAGGAAGGAAGGAAGGAAGGAAGGAAGGAAGGAAGGAAGGAGGAGGGAAGGAAGAAGGAAGGAAGAAAAGAAGGAAGGAAGGGAGGGAGGGAAGAAGGAACGAAGAAAGAAAAGAAGGAAGGAGGGGAGGGAGGGAGGGAGGGAAGAAGGAAGGAAGGAAGGAAGGAAGAAAAGAAGGAAGGGAGGGAGGGAGGGAGGGAGGGAAGAAGGAAGGAAGGAAGAAAAGAAGGAAGGAAGGAAGGAAGGAAGGAAGGAAGGAAGGAAGGAAGGAAGGAAGGAAGGAAGGACTTATTTGTACATCACAATCCTCTTTATGGTCCTCTTTCTTATTCTTTCATTGCAACAGCCCAACTCCAGGGCTTTCTAACCTGAGACCAATGATCCTCTGATTATAGATCAGCAAGCTCCCTCATATGGATCGTCTATCTCAGGGGTGTCAAAGTGGCGGCCCGCAGGCCAGATGCGGCACGCACAGGCCATGCCCATCCTGGCTCCGCAAAGGCAAAAAACATTGCAATACATCACGATATGTCATGTGACGCGATCGAGTTTGACACCCGTGATCTATCTGATTTGAAAGTGTGACGACTCGCTGTTATTCTTATTAGAGTAAATAAATAATTATTTCTAGTAAGTATTGGTAGACCTTGACTTACACTTCACAATCCTTCACTTGTCATCTGTTTGAAGTGACTTATGACAGTCCTCACATTTATGACTATTGCAGCATCCGCAGCTTACGTGATCAGAATTCAGGAGCTTAGCAACCAGCATCTCTTTACAACAGTTGCAATGTCCCATGGTCACGTGATCATCACTTGCCACCTTCCCAGGGGCCTTCCAACAAAGTCCGCTGGGGAAGCTGGATATGCATAACAATAAGGGTGATTCACTTAACAACCATGCCAAAAAAGGGTCATAAAATCAGGCGCAACTCGCTCGACAGCCTCAGAGCTTAGCAACAAGACGTTTCAACCCCAACTGTGATCATAAGTTGAAGACTGTTTTTCAACTCTAATTCCTTGCACACTACATCAAAACAAGAACAAAACTGCAAAAATGAGAAAGTAATGTGAAAATAAGGTAACTTAATTTGGGACCGATTGAAATCCAGTTCTGTTTAGAGCCATTGAAATTAATGAGACTAATTGTGGTTCATTATTTTCATTGATTTTTCTTTGACGCAACTTAAATTCAGATTTAAATTGGTGGATCTGTGCAACATCCTTGCCATTCATAGGAAAGGTAATATAAAAGGATTAGAGGAATTTCGTAACATATCACGATGTATGATATAAATTTTATTAAGCCATTTTATGGCTCTCCAACTGCTTCTTAATTTCTTTAACATCTTTAATAAAACACAGTAAACTGAAAGGTCTCTGTGGACCAAAGTTCTCTATTATAAATGCTTAACTTGATAATTAATTTTCTAGGGAATAAAGAAAAGAAACAAACTTATTCATTTTCTTCATTGCTTTTGACCTTCAGTAACCTTAACTGAGAATAGGAATTTAGAAACCCAAATCAAATTCTCATTAAGCAATATGGAATCAACTCATTTCTAAAAAGGCTAAGAAATTTCCACTCTTATAAAAGAAATCCAGAGTCTTGTAGCTTCTCCAGGACTAGTTATCATTCCTCCAGTATAGGTTTTGGGAAGCAGCAAAAACTTCATTGGTTTGGTATTACAGGACATGTGTAGTGTTGACAAAGTTTCTTAGTTCCACCACAATTACTTTGAGATTAACAATGGAATATTGTGAAAGCTGCAATTTTGGGCCACTGCCTTGTTGCCGTTTTGAGCTCTGATATCCAGTTTCTATTTCTTTATTTCACTTATTCAGAATCTGGCTAGTTTCCCCTGTGCAGAACTCATATACTGGGAAAGACAATGGAATTATAATACAGTACATTAGAAAAATACTTGATAATTGAATAATAGAGTTGGAAGGGACTTTAGAGGTCTTCTAATCCAATCCCCTACTCAAGTTGTCCAGTCTCATCTTAAGAACCTCCAGTGTTGGAGCACTCACAATTTCTGGAGGCAATTATTCCATTGATTAACTAGTCTAACTATCAGGAAATTTCTCCTTAGTTCTAGGTTGCTTTCTTCCTTGACTAATTTCCATCCATTGCTTCTTGTTTTGCCTTCAGATGCTTTTGAGAATAGGTTGACCCTTTCTTCTTTTTGGCAGCCCCTCAGATATTGGAAGTCTGCTATCATGTCATCCCTAGTCCTTTTTTTATTAAACAAGACATACCCAATTCCTGCAACCGTTCTTCATACGTTTTAACCTCCAGTCTCTTAATCATCTTTGTTGCTCTTCTTTGCACTCTTCCCAGAATCTCAACATCTTTTTTATATTGCGGTGACCAAAATTGGATGCAATAGTCCAAGTATATTAGCATCCAACCTTGTTTCCCCTTTCTTTCTCTGTATTTAAAGTCCCATAAGAGTGAGTCCACTCTACCAGTCTGATGTTATGAACTGTTGTTTACAAAAGATTATCCTCCAGTGAAACTGATTAGTCTTGGAAATTACTCCACATCTATTATGTTATCAGAAACTATCCAACTCTTCCCTCATTTACCACTTAAAATTGAATCCATGCATCTCTATATGTTTTATAACCTAACCCAAGAATATACGGTAACCAAAAGTAATTCTGCTGCTTCTATCACCATCTCTTCTACTGATTGGGTGGTATTCCCCATACATTTTTGATCAGACGCCAATCAAGAGCACCCAAGGAAATCTCACTCCCATAAAGATATGAATTCTATCATATCAAAGAGGTGAAAATCTATTTATTTCAAAACTTTCCTGACAATTTATTATTCTCGTGAACAAATTTACAGATTATAAGAATTTTGGAAAGAAAAGAAGAGAGTTTTGGTTTGCATAGTACATTTATTCAACAATAAAGATTTTTTTTATGATTGTGGACCAGAGAAAGGAGACAATAGCATTTAAATTTTATTCACTTAAACAATATTTGTTTCATTTCAAAGCAATGATCTTGGATGCTATACAAAATGAAAGCAAACAATAATTACTCCAACCATCTGAATAATACAGTTCAACTCAAACGTATAATTCTCAATTTACAGTTGAAAACAACAAACATAAAAACAATCAACTAATACCTAACTGAATTTATACATCCAGACCAAAATGGTTTTCTACCAAAGAGACACATTAAAAATAATTTAAGAGTGATAATGGACGTATTAGAATACTATGAACTACATCCAGGGAAACAACTGGCACTAATATTTCTATATGCTCAAAAGACATTTGATAATGTTTCCTGGCAATTTATGACTCAGCAATTACAAATAATGAACTTTGGACAGAATTTTATAAATATGATAAAAACAATATACAACAAACAAACAGCGAAAGTGATCGTGAATGGAGATTATACTGAGAACTTTGAGATAAGAAAAGGTGCAAGGCAAGGATGTCCATTATCTCCATTGTTATTGCTGATGATTTGGTATTTTTCTTAGAAGAACTTTTGGAGATGATTCCTAAATTACTGGGAAAGGTAGAATAGTACGGAGAAATGGCAGGACTGAAAATAGGGAAAAAAACTAAAGTAATAGTTAAAAATATTACAGATAAAAAAAAAAGAAATGTCAGAAAAAACAGAACAACAGATAGTTAAAAAGGTTAAATATTTGGTTATACATTTAACAGCAAGATGTTCAACAATAAAAGAAGATAACTACACAAAATTATTGAATCAAATAAAACTGGATTTGGAAAAGTGGAAAAATTTGCAATTGTCAATATTAGGAAAAATTGCTACAGTGAAAATGAATGTATTGCCAAAAATCTTATTTTTATTTCAAACAATACCCATAAAACTCGAGAAGTTTTTTTTCAAGATTTAAATTAAATTAATTTTGAAATTTGTCTGGCAAGGAAAGAAAGCTAGAATTAAGATGACAATGTTACAAGATGCTAAAGAAAATGGAGGATTTGATTTATCGGAGTGGGTTTTGTACTATCAAGGATCTGTATTAACATGGGTAAAAGAATGGATAACTCTTAGAAATAAAAGGTTGTTATATCTGGAGGGGCATGATTTACAATTGGGATGGCATGCTTTTTTATGGTATGGAAAAAATAAAATCCATAAATATTTCCAAAACCATTACATAAGAAATGCCTTGTTGACATATACTAGAATGCGGAGAGATGGACAGATTGACTATGAGACTGAAAGAAAAAGAAGAAACAGAATATTATCAAACTTGGGACTTATTTTACCAATGGTTAGAGGAAAGAATAAAGGATTAGGTATTAAATATGTATTAACGTATTTAAACCCAGACAGCAAGTTGGTTGAAAAATTATTATTCTATGTATGGAAAAAATCAATAAAATTTTATTTTAAAAAAACAATCAACTAGCAGAATTTGCAGAATTTTGTGCAGAATTACCCAAATGCCTTGGGTAATAGCCTTATGAAAGGTTAATAAGCTTGGGACCACCTGGATCTCTGAAAAGATGCCGTTCTAAAACAAGGACCAAGTTGATATTGGTTGATAGGAGAGACCTGGAGCTTCCTCATCTTGCTAGTTCTGGTAAGGTGAGCAGAAATAACTGGAGACAGGCAATCCAACATATAGCCTGACCCTATGCCATGTAGGGCTTTATAGGTGACAACCAGCACCTTGAATCTCACCTGCATAGCTCACAGAGCAGTGGTATAAAATAAATATTATGTAGGATGCCAAAAATTGCCCATGTAGTTTCACAGTGGGCCATCAACAGCTTCCACATGTTCTTTAAAGCAGTGCCATCTACAAAGTGTTATAGTAATCCAAACAGGAGCTAACTAAGACACGAGTCATAATGAATAAGGTTTCCTGGTCCAGGAATCACTCCAGTTGGTGAATCAGATTAACTAGTGAAAAGACGATGTTTAGTATAGCAATGTACAATAAATGTAAGATAAGGTAAGATCAAATAATCTCCAGAGTACTGCTAAATATCTACCTTAACTCAATGTTCATGGTTATTTATAATTCTAAGTTCTTGAATCAAGGAGTCAACATTCAGTAACTAAAGATGTGACTCTGGGATTTTATCAGGTGAAACAAAGCGAGTATAAACTTCTCAGACTGCCCTGGGAAGAGTGTAAAAATAGGACATATCAATCTAGATATCAATCTAGATTCTAGACATATCAATTTAGAATCTATGGCAAACTAGCCACCCAGTAGCACATGTTCAATATGGGAAACCAGAAGAAAACTGTGCTTATTTAATTTGTACGGTTTATATTTAAATATGTTGGATGTGTTTTTAATTTTTGGCAAAAACCCTTGCAATCAACAGCCTATCCGTTACCAGTATGCCACTCAAATAATCTTGCATACCTCGAACAGTGTCAATCCTGCTGGAGATGGGAAAACTCTTCAGATGCCTCCAGCTTCTTCACAAAGGAATTTTCTTTCTCTTTAGAAAATTCTTTATGGTCTCCTTGACCTTCTCATTCCTTAAGGTATAAATAAAAGGGTTCAGCAGTGGAGTGACCACTGCAGTTAGAACTGCCACTGCTTTCTGGACATCCCGAGAACGTTCCTTGTTAGATAATGAGTACATAAAAATGGCACTGCCATAGAAGATGGAAGCCACCGTGATGTGAGATGCACAAGTGGAATAGGCCTTCTGCTGACCTTTGGTAGCTTTCATACGAAAGATGGTGACAATTATGTAGAGGTAAGAGATAGCAGTGACTGACAAAGAGCTGAGGAGTACCACAGAGGATAGGATGGAGGCTAGACTCAAAAGGACACGGATATCATTGCAAGAAAGGGTTATCATTGGACTGTAGTCACAGAAAAAGTGGTCTATGATGTTTGAGTCACAGAATGATAATTGAAAGATCAAACAGAAGGAGACAATGGTAGACAGGAATCCTCCGATCCAGCAGAATAGGACCAAACAAGTGCAAAGACAATAATTCATGATGGTGGCATAGCGCAGTGGATGGCAGATGGCAACGTAGCGGTCAAAGGACATCACAGCAATGAGGATGAATTCAGTGGTTCCAAGGAAGAAATACAAATAGCACTGGGCAGCACAGGCTAGGAAAGAGATGGCTTTGTTCCTGGATATAAGGTTCATCAACATTTTAGGGGTGATTGTCGAGACAAAAAGGACCTCCAAGAGGGAAAGGTTGCCAAGGAAGAAATACATCGGGGTATGAAAGCATTGATTGAAGCCTACCAGTAGGATGATGGTGAAATTCCCAGCAAGTGTTAACAGAAAAGCCACTAAGAGCAGAGTAAATACAACTATTTCCAGAGACCTGGAGAGCTGGAAACCAATTAAAATGAATTCTGTTACCTGCTCCATGTTTGTACCATTGTAATTTCTTGATATCATGTCTAAGTTGAGCTTTGAAAAAAAATAAACACAAAGTGTTCATGTTGGAGCTTGATGTTTCTTTCTTTTTTTTCCTTCAGATAAGCCACTGTACTTCCCTCCTGAAACCCTTGCTCACTAAAAAAAATCAAATCATTAATTTCTTTCCTAATATTTTGGAAATGCAAAAACCAGTTCCTCTTTGAAATCTAATGTAATGGAGTGTTCTAAAGCAATTTATGGAGATTGAACCAAGGTACTGCACAATTCTTTGGTGTATATTAGGTGGAGACCCAAGATTTGATCAGCTCCAAAGATCAACAATCATTCTAGATGGAAAAAGCAGTTAACCTCATGAGTGCATAGAAGAAATTAGTACATATCAAATACAGTATAGGCAAAGTTCTCATTACTGATTTACAGTGTCACCCAACTTTAGAGTAGCAATATAAAGGTTGCATTTTGTGATACAATATCACAGCGATGGCTGCATGATTCTCTAAGAAAGCATACGTGAAGAAATGATGAAAAGGTTACAAAACACTAAAGAAAAGAAGTTAAAGAACGACCAACAGCTGATTGATTTTACTATAGTTTAGAATCTGGGGTGAACTTAGACTGATTGATGCATTGGAGATGTAATATCGCAACACAGAAAATGGATTGATTCAATAATAAATGCAAGCCTTTTGACTGAAATTAGCCAGAAAGGTATAATCAGAGGTTGTAAAGAGAGCCAGTGAGATGTAGTGGGTAATGGGTTGAATGGGTACCAAGAGGAGCAGGTTGTGATCCTTTCTCTCAGCCCATACAGCTAACACAAAATCACTGATATCTTTAACTTACCTATGGATTATGTCTTCAATCATCGGGTTCAATAAAGACTAAAATATTAAGGAGATACTTATAAGAGGGCATCTGAGAAGGTCCATTGTTACCTATTATAAATTTTTAACTAGCTATATAATGTCAGGGGAAATTGAGTCTCCAGCTGATATTGAAGAATTCATTTTCCTTGTCTTGCCTAGAGATCTTCAGTACCTTCAGACAAACATTAAAAGAAAGAAGAAAACACTGAATTGATGATTATGTAATAGAAGGGATGACAGAACATTGAAGTGGTGGGAAAAGGGATATCAGCCTAGAATCCCTGTGTCGCCACAACAGAATAAGTCCAACCGCCCTTGAGTGCTATTGAACCTTACCTAATTCTAAGCAGGTTCCAACTGTTAGTTGAGATGAGTCATGTGCATAGGCCAGTGGTGGCAAACCTATGGCACGGGTGCCAGAGGTGGCACTTAGAGCCCTCTCTGTGGGCACACGCGCCGTCACCCCAGTCCTAGGCCTTCACCTAGGTTTTGCTTTAGGCCTGCACCGCCATGTGCCAAAAAAAAAAGGTTCAATCAATCAGTCAATTTCAACTTCTTGCAGGAAAAAAAAATCTTGCAAAATTGGAATTAATTGATTGAACTATTCAGTCCCACCCAGTCTGCTGTTACCACCGCAGCCACACCCAGCCAATGGGCCATGCCCACCCAAATGGCCACACCCACCCAATGGGCCATGCCCACCTGGCACCCAACGATACATAAGTGGGTTTTGGGTTGCAGTTTGGGCACTCGGTCTCTAAAATGTTCGCCATCACTGGAATAGGCTTTTAGCAATAAATCAATTTAATTGAACTTTCTTGTATGGACCTAATCTTTCACACCTGAGAGGTTTATAGATTTAGGAAGTTAAAAAATGTTAAGGAGGGAAGGGAAGAAGTAAGCTGGCAACGACTTGATAAAAAAAAGGGCAGAAGTCCTAATTCTGTTTTTTCTTCTTTTTCTTTCAATCATTTTTATTTTATAGCTTCTCTTTTTCTTATTTACCTTTTCATTTTTAAACTTTTATTGTATTTAACCATTCTAATAAAAATAAATTGAAGAAATACTAAAGGAAAGAAAGCCAGATGACCATTATTTTGGTCCACTGTAGCTGGTCAAATAGAAGAAAATGTTACCCACATATAAAGTCACATATATTAACCACAGGCCTTTGTTTGTGTGTGCAGGAGAGCCTTACATAGATCATCTATGCACAAGAGAAAGTTGTAACTGTAAGCCTGGACAAACCAAGGAAAGAAGGAAATGTAACGGAATAGATCAGGAAAAAAATTTTTTTTTTAAAGATGGGAAATGGTGTATGGGCTGCATTCAGCCCTTTTTTCAGTGCAAAATGGGATTCATACATCTCATTCAGATGATCAAGAAATTCAGTTGTTTAAAAAAATATACGGGGAATCCCTCACTTACAATAATTCATTTAGTGACCATTCAAAGTTACAATGGCATTGAAAAAAGCGACTTATAACCATTTTTCACACTTATGACTGTTAAAGCATCTCCATGGTCACATGAACAAAATTCAGTCCAGAAAAAAAAAAACAGTAAAACACTCAGTACTGTTGCCAAAACAAGCAAACCAATCAGTGCTGATGTGTCCATGAATTTAGCAGGAACTGAATATTGACTTTAAGCATGAACCAAAATTGTGCAACTAAAATTAAACAACACAATCTCAGATTATGAATAAATATTAAATAAATATTAAAATATGAATTCTAAATCCATATTTAAAATTCAACTTAGAATTTTAGAAATGGAAAGCGCCTTTGGCCACTGATCATCTATCTTCCAGCTACCAAAGTTAAGATACATAACCAAAGAAAATAAATTCCAGAAATAAGAGGGCCATATGGCTTTATACAATTGGACTACCTGTATCCCCATAACATTTCTGGATATTGCTTATGTGAACATGGATTTAGCTCATTCCTTCCATGTTTCCAGAAAAACCTACCCAACTTTGGCTGTTTTCAAAACAAATTACTACCTGGACATAGCTGATAACTTAGGAGATTGCTCAGAAATTCCAAGGTTGTTGATTTGGCTAAAAGTAAGTTTTCATTCTGTCTGTATGGCTTCATAATAGACTTTACTGATTTCCAAGAGCTTTTAGCATTATACTTTTTGATAATTGTACTGTTCTTTTTATATTTGATTTTCGTTTCTTGAATCTTTTAGTTATTTAAGTCACCTAGAATAGCTGTTGAGATGCCTTATACATTTAAATAATCAAATGTAACGCCACCTAGATAAATATTGGCAATTTTAGCTATTTTAAATCATCATAGCTGAAAAGACATTCCAGAAAAAAGAAACAATAAAACACTACTGTTGCCAAAACAAACAAATAAATCAGAGTTGACATGTCCATGAATTTAGTAGGAACTGCATATTGATCTTAAACATGAACCAAAATTATGCAACTAAAATTAATCAACACAATCTCAGATTATGAATAGCCACCAATGACAGCCTGAAGGTTTCATGTCAACCCTACTCTATAGGTTAACTATCCTTCTATTAAGACAATTCCATTTCCTTTTGATAGTAATAAAGTGATACTATCACAAATCCATATTTAAAATAAATATTACATATGAATTATAAATCCATATTTAAAATTCAACTTAGAATTTTAGAAACTCAAAGCAACTTTGGCCACTGATCTTCTATCTTCCATATACCAAAGTTTAGGTATGTAAATAAAGAAAATAAATCCAAGAAATAAGAGGACAGATAGTGTTATACAATTGGTGAAATGTTTATTAATGGAAACTATTGATGTTTTGGAGAAGATATCATCCAAGTTGTAATTTGGTTTCCAATGAAATCAACGCAGCCTTCTTTCACTTACGAGATTTTCTATCTAACAAAACTAATTCACAGTTTTGTTTCTGTCTTTTAGCCAAAGAAAAGTTTTTGTGAGCGAGCAAAGCACGAATGGGGAAAACAATTAGAGATCTTCTCTGGTGTGATCAAATTCAGTCCTAATTCCACTGGAGCCAAAAGAATTTATTCAGCAAATGTATAAATATTACATCCAAATCTTGCCTTCTCCTTTATCAATCCATAACCAATTCCCACCTCCTTGGTTTAGCTGCGGAAACACAAGTAGCTTGGGAACATAGCTTCCTGTTTGGACTTTACCTTCAGTTGATGGTCAGATGATCCAGCCAATTCCTTATTTCTTTTAATAGTCAATTTGTTTTATCAATAAGACTGGAATCTTCCTTTAGATGTCTTAAAGGCAGCAGAGATTTCCACTTTTTCTTGGATCAGCTTCCTTCTTTCTCTCTGCAACCCTTTCAGTTTTGAATCATCTCTCTGTCTTCGGCAATCTGCATTAAGTTCATTAGGCCCTTCAAAACGACCAACCAATATTTTTCAGCCCATGTAGAATCTGGATTGCAGAGGTCAATTGGTACTTTCTTTTCTTTTTTTACTGAATATTAAAAGGTTCGGTTCCTATATGCTTCTGTGAGCTCATCTTATCCTACTTAGAATAAGTTTTGCCATTGTGAGATTAGCGAAGATCTGGATGGGGTAATTTGAAAGGTCCCTGGAAAGAATCAACATTTTTAAAAACATTGATGGTTTTCCTGGACTGTTAAAAAACAACAGATCAATTTTCTGTCAGTTTTACAGGAAGGTCCAATTAATATGAGCAGGTCAAAGGCAGGACATTGGGAATGAATTTGTTGGCTTGGTTAGCTTGGGGGAAAACAGAGTCTCTTGAAAACTTTCCTCTCATGTTAAGTTTGTTATTAGGAACTCACTGTTTTTGTTGATCTATGAGGACTAAGTCCTTTCTATTACCTGGGCTTAAAGGAGCATGAGACCTCCAGTTGGTGGTATGTCCAACATAGGAGCATGCTAAGAATGCTACAAGTTTCTGTATCTCTGGAAAGGACCCTAGGCCAAAATGATTCATATTACATGAAGGAAGTTCAGCAGAACAATAATTGGAAGTGTAAGGTTGATGCAGAACTAGACAAGAATTCTCAAAAAATAACTAAAAGGAGTCCTCAATTTATATCTGTAATCAAGTCTGCTCATTACATTCATAATTCATGACAATTGTAAAGAGAGATATTTTCCTGAACCCAAACAGGAGGGTCTCCTTCTGTTCTCAAAGGTAATCTAGACTATCCAGTTTCCTTTAGACCATTTCTTTGGGAAGAATGGGAGGAGTCTGTTAGAGAACTCCATTCCATATTAGCACTAAATCTCATTCACTTGATCTAAAAATTCAGATTTTTTAAAAAAAATAGAACATATCATGTCTTGATATAAAATAGCAATTCATATCTTAGCTGAAAAGGTAATTTATGATCCTTCTTCTTTGGTAGATCTGTATGGCTTCATTAAAACTTATTTCCAGTTCTTGTTATATTAGATTTTGGTTCTGGATTCTTCTGGTTATTTAAGCCACCTAGAACAGACAGTTTGGTGCAGAGATGCCCTATACATTTAAATAATCCAATTAAAGGTCACTTACATAGACATTGGCAATTTTAGATATCTTACAAGCATCATAGCTGAAAAGACAGTCCAGAAAAAAACAACAGTAAAACACTTGGTACGGTTGCCAAAACAAGCAAACCAATCAGTGTTGATGTACCCATGAATTTAGCAGGAACTGAATATTGACCTTAAACATGAACCAAAATTATGCAACTAAAATTAAACAACACAATCTCAGATTATGAATAAATATTAAATAAATATTAAAATATGAATTCTAAATCCATATTTAAAATTCAACTTAGAATTTTAGAAATGGGAAGCACCTTTGGCCACTGATCTTCTAGCTACCAAAGTTAAGATACATAACCAAAGAAAATAAATTTCAGAAATAAAAGGGCCATATGGCTTTATACAATTGGACTATCTGTATCCCATAACATTTCTAGGTATCGCTTATATGGACATGGATTTAGCTTATTCCTTCCATGTTTCCAGAAAAATGTACCCAATATTGGCTGATCTCAAAACAAAACAAAAGTAATGTACTTTCAATTAATGGATAGCCTGTAGTTTTTGCTTTTCTCTGGACCTGGGAATGAGTGGGAAGACCCATTGAGAGCAATGACTTATGAATTTACTCTCTTCTCTTAAATTCTAAGCAGTGAAGTTATAGTTGTACTGGCATCAAAACATTCTGTAACAGCACACAATGATCTGGTGCTTTTTGCAGGGTCCATCCTGCTGATACATGAAGGTGAAATTGA